TTGTTTTGTTTCGAAATTCGATATCTTTTGTCGCCTTCGAGATCTGCTTGAATCTGTATGCTATAGTAAGTTGGATTGCCATTGGTTTTCTCTGTACCATAGAGGAATTGATTTGATAAAGCTTTAGATAATTTTAGTTACGAAGACTCTTATTTGGATTGATAGACATTTGGGCATTTTCATGGATTTTCTCTCTTTGTTTTCTTGTTCAAAGCTTGATTATTTGCTTCAGTGGATGGTTTGAATCGATTAGGACTAGGATATGAAATTTTAGGAAACTTGAATGGTGAATTTTGTTATGGTTTATTGGGTTTTCTAATACCAGATCATCAAAAAAATGACACATGAGCTAGTTACTTGATAATGGTTTGGGGTTTGGGAGATCATCCTTAGGGTTCTATGTTTGGTTGTTTGAAATGTTTTTCCTTTGCTTCTTTGTTTGTTCGTTGATTCAGAAAACAAAATTAAATTGATTCAATTTTACAAATCTTATCAGTTTCTTTGACACTTTGTGTGTCTGACTTTTCTTTATTGAATTAGATTGAACTCAAAACTGCACCTGCTGATTTCCGCTTCCCTACAACAAACCAAACCAGACACTGCTTTACTCGGTACATTGAGTTTCACAGGTACCTACTTGCTTAATAAGCTCATGATCCGAAGGCAATTGTCAGATTTATCTCTTGTAAACATCAAAGATTGTTCTGCAGGTGTACAATTGCAAAGGGCGATGAGTCTAATGACTGCGAAAGGTTTGCCAAGTATTACCGCGCCCTCTGTCCTGGAGAATGGGTTGGTTCCTTTTGTTTTTTTTGTATGGACATTAAAAGATTATTGTATCAAAGATAGCTTTGCGGTCATTCAACAATGTGTGTTGCGTATTTTGTCGCAGGTTGAGAAGTGGAACGAGCAGAGGGAGAATGGAACTTTTCCGGGTCCGCTTTGAACCGGACTGTTTCAATCTTGATGCAGAAGCAATCAAGCCCCTAAGGGAAAAATAATGTTATATAAGGTTACATTCTTTGGTCATGTTATGTTTGTTGACAAAAAGCTTGTGTGACAAAATTGTTACATTCTTTGTCACTTTTTTTGGTTCTCTTGTTAAAGTGCTTTCTTGGGATGTTTAAGGAAGGCCTATGAAACAAATAAAATGAAAAGGATTATTTGATTGGGGTTTGGAACTAATAAAACATAACAAACTACTCAACACCTCTCTCTATTTCTATTTCTATTTCTATATTTAGATGAAATGGTCATCATCATTATCAAATATTTTTTACAACTTTTTCCATTTTTCTTCTTTCAAATCCAGTAGTTTCTTCATATAAGTTCTTATTTATCACTGGATATAGGTATCACAGGAGATAGATGATCACGTGATAAACCACATTAGAAAGAAATAAGAACTTGGATGAAGAAATTTAGTGATGATTCGAAGAGTAGATGATCACGTTATAAATCACATCGTGGACAATGTCGGGAAAAAACAACAGATATCACACAATAGAGCAGATTAGGTTATGAAGAATATGGAACTTAAAGAGAGAAAACGGAGTCTCCAAGTTAAAGAGAGAAGATATCATCGGGTATCGAATTTCGACTATCTAAAGACATGTTTCGGGGCTAGTTTGATAAGAAATAAATTAAAGCCAAATTTGACAAGTAACACTAGTTTTTAGCAAAAAAAATAAACACTTACTCCCATTCAACAACCAAAATTTCCAAAATTTCAAAATCGGAAAAATAGCTTCTTATTAGGACATTTTAGCCCACTTCAACAATAAAGTTGGACTAATAGTTTGGTGGGTTGAGCCAAACCCATGCAGTAGTGCAACGAATGAGCGACTCGTGAAAACCCAGATAGCAAGCTATCTTGATGGACCTTCTCCCTTAAAAAATAGAGTTAATATCGTGTGAACCGATGGAACACATATCAGATATTAAACTGATAAGAACAGATACTACACTTGATCTTAGCCAAAAGGCCGAGAAAGGTATGATTAGTGAATGGTCGTGGCCTCTTTATTTATACTACTACACTTTTATTCCACGCTTAGTTTGGTTGCGATGTGGGACTTTGAACAATTGACAAAAGTCACTAAATTTTATCTTTTTCCTTTTTTAAAAAAGCCTTTTCCAAGCCCAAGTTATGAAGTTTAATCTTTTCTTTTTTGTTTTTTCGCGGCCAAAAAAAAAATCTTTTATTTTTCTTTCAAATCTTGGTTGAGTGTTCTAAATGGGTTTAAACCCCTCTATATTATTTTCTTTAATATAAAAATATTAGAGACATAATTTACGTAGAAAAACAATATGGATGTAGTAAAAATAGAATCTCAACCCC